CTGTCTCTTCTTTCTGCCTAGATCATCCATGCAGGTTTGACTTCACACCGTTTTCAAGTTGTCCCAGTGCTTTTCGACGCCGACTTCTTCGCTAGTGAAAATCTTGCATAGGGAGTACAAATTAATCCGAATCGAATCGCAAAAACGATGGCAATCCACATGTTAAATCCTGAACTCCGCATTCAAAAGAAGTTTGTTCAGTCACTGAATCTGCAATCCATTTTGGTAGTCCTTATTATTTGTGGTTTCAATTAGATTTCTACTCTCTGTGTCAGTAATCTTAACTTGACACTCAATTTTGGTTGAGTTCTGTTCAATCGCGTTACTCATATTAAGTCGAACAATTTTTACTTATTTAATTTTATTTCGGTCTCTACTCGATCAACGCCTTCTGGATTATTTAATCGCTATCTAGAACTTACAGATCTAATGTCACAACTTTAGAAGTATTCCTTTTACTACTAAGATAATATACTGTTCAGTTTGTGAATGGTATTGCTGAAAACAGTAACACTTATTCTTTAAAGACAGTTATTCAGGATCTATTGAATACTTGCATATTTTCAATACAGCACTTTTCAAATGTTTCACTGAACAAAATACACAATATGCACTGACAAAAGGGAGAGTTACATATCAGTAATTCACAAAACTAATTAAGCCCTATGGAATGGCTCAAATTTTTATCGACCTTATTCAACAACCTATATGACAACGCTACATGTCAAGTGATCCCCAAAAGAGAACCCAATGAAGCCTAAGAAATGGAGACAGGAGTAAGACAAGCTGGCTGCCTACTGTCAACAGTGATATTTCTTATTTTGGTGGACTGGATTATGAGGATGACAGTGCGTAGACAGCGAGAAGGCCGGTATACGTTTTACTTATAAGGAGACTCGAGAACATCAGGACTTCGCTGACGGTTTATGTCTAAGGTCACATAAATTCGAAGACTTTAGGCAACAAACTGGCCGAATAAGCAGCAAAGACAGGACTTAAAATGAACATGGAGGTGCTGAAGGTAACCAGCCGACCACAAGAGACACCAGTCACTGTCTCTTCTTCTATATGAGTCAGAAACTTCCATTGCACTTCACGAAAAGCATTTCCAACAGACTACTGAAGACTTCCATCAACAGCTAACTTCGTTAGCTCCATACTGTAGACCAGATGGTCCAAAGGAATTAGTGACAAGAAACTATGGCAAAAGCCAATTGAGGACACAGTGTTCAATAAATATTCAGAATAAAATGCAGATGGATTTGACACTCGCTGAAGAGACCGTTTGGTGGCGTCGCACTTCATGCCATCGTACAAGGGGAACCAGAATGGAAAACGGCGAGGTGGACTTAAGTCCAATAGTGACATATAGCAGATCGAGTGAAAAGGATTTCAAAGCTTTTAGGCAACTGTGGGAGCAGCTGAAGAGTAGTTCAGAGAACGGGAAGAAAATGGAGACATGCTGTTGAGGCCGTAAATTCCATTTGGAAACCAAAGGATTAATAATATATATTCATAAATATAACCCACATAAAAACAGCTAGGCGTTGGTAATGATGTTTACAGTGACAGGAAGAACTGGTTAGTAGGTAAGCCATGAAACTCAGCTGGTATAGCAATAGTCTACTAATCTACATGAGGCTGCTAACCCTGATTTCCATTCGATTGTCAATCATCAAACGCATTACACAATATACATCACTTAAAATCCTAATAATATTATTACCACTAACAATGATTAACAAGTGTATTTTTATGTTCTAAAAAGGTCAGTCGATTACAGGGGAATACAATCCGCTTACTATGTGTTCAGATACATGTTAGGTCATCAATGATTTTAGCCTAAATGGGATTAAAAAATCAGAATGAGTGGCAAAAAATACGCAGGCAAGTTAGATAAATCTGTCTGATAAAAGTATCCCAATAAAAAATTTTAAGGCTGTAAATGGTAGAAATAGTTTTAACAAGTGAAAACTTCGATAGTAGAAAGGAATTAATATTTTTCTAATTTATAATTATAATAAATGAAGTCAAGTGTATATGTGTGTGTTCATCTGTTCATCTGAGGTCAACTTCACCTTTGTCTAATGAAAGAAAGTTTAGAAATAAGTGAGAGAAGTTAGACAGTATTATACTTTATAGACTATAGAAAAGAACAAGGCAGGGAAAAAATTGAATAAAATTTTCTGTAGTTGGTTTGTAAGAATTAAATTTGTTTTTTCGAGTTGGTCACAGATTGATAACAGTTAGAGAACCATTGAAAACCAGCAGTGGATTACTGGACAGCTGTTTCATCCCAGTTTGGGAAACACTGGCAGTATTCGAACCAAGGACCTTCCGGTTACAAAGCAAACTCATATACCTTTCAGTCATTGAATTGGGTCTCAGTGGCTGAGTGGTATACGATCAGGCTTGCCTTGTAATCTGAAATTCTTCGGTTCGGACCCTCTAGGTGGGTGCGTACTGCTGATGATACTCAAAGTGGGATGAAACACCTGTCCAGTACTCCTAGCTAGTTTTCAATGGTTCTCTAACCAATATCAATCCATGATCAACTCGTAATAATAAAATTTGAAGGTCCATCATTTAAGAAAAACGATTTATCAACATTACTCCCAAAAAAATTCTAAACATTTATGATAAGATATACACAGCCCACTTAACTCCAAGTAATGTGGCTGAATGGTCAACAGGCTGATCCCGTAATCTGAATGTTTCCGATTCGATCCCTAGCGGCCAGGTGTTGTATGCACACTTCTACAACAAAAAGAGTTGTCTAATTTTCTCTGGTTCTCAGTGATCCTCAAACTGAGTGAAGTAATCTATCTATCCCCAGAAAATTCACAGTTTCACTAGGGAATAACCATCAATCGCCTTCTTTAAATGTGTTTTTCCATTTTTACTCAGTATCACAGTAGTTAGTGATGATGAGTTTTTGAGCAGATTTAACCTTGTGTGACTGGTACTAAATGGATTCATGTCACGGTTAAAAAAAAATCTATCGTAGTGAGAAAAGCGCATGTATCTATGCATAGGTCTAAGGTGCGATCCAGACCATTCATACAGCATCACAGTTAACATTTATGAGTTTAATCAAATGAGAAGTCAGCAAAATATCCATATTTACTACACCACGTCCCTGTGAACCAGGCGTTTGTTGTGTTTATCTCTTTATTGGCAACATTATATATGGCATTTAAAACCCTATTAACAACAATCCATGGGCAGCGACAAGATGGGCCCGCATTGAACCAACAGAAAATACCCTGGAAGATACGGATGATTTGTGTCTAATGTCACACAACCTAGACTACCTACAGGTGAGAGCCACTAAGTGGGCAACAGAAGCAGTGAAGATGGGACATAGTGAAGACAGAAGTGATGAAAGTACTTAATCATCAATTACAAGCATGAGTAACCATTAATGGAATGGGTTTAAAGGAATTCATCTCCTCTACTTACCTACGCAACATTATTTCAACTACAGAAGCAACAAATGAGGATGTTAAAGCCAGAATCGAAAGATCAAGATAGACCTTCACTACTCTGAAATCACTGTGGAAAGCCACTCCACTGAGCACGTGAAACAAGACCCTAAATACCCAACACTAATTTCAAGTCAGCTCATTTATTTAGTTCAGAAAATCGTCACTCGTACAAGCCAAAGTACTTCTATATCCTACTGAAGACTTTCATCAGTAGCTGCCTTTAACCGATACTAAAGATTAGGTGGCCTGAAAGTACAGGCAACGGGGAACTCTGACAACGAACCAACTGGAAAATGGTCACCTAACAAATGTTTTGAAGTAAATGGAGATGGATTGAACAAACGCTGAAATAACTGTTGAGTGACATAACACGCCAAACCTTCGACCGCGACTCTAACGAGAAGCAGAGCGTTAAATGAGTCCGACAGTGATACGGAGGAAATCATGTGTGGAGGAGATGATAACTTGTGGGGAGTCATGGAGCCAGCTGGAACGACTGCAGAAAATATAGTGAAATTGGGACATGCTGCTGAAGCCCAGTGTTCCTCTAGGGGCCCGAAGGAATAATAATAAATGAAACCCTTTTGAAGTTTGTGGTGTTAATATTTTGAATCACAGTAGAGGTGGTAGTACTGTGTCCCTTAGACCATACTTCTGTTCACTTGGCTTTCGGTAGCCACGCGGTGATGTCCTCCTATAAAAGAACACATGATCGTCATATTCTGCATGATATCTACACGAATCGTGACGATGCAAGTAACCTCTTTGCCTATAATCTTCTAACTACGTCACTGTGTAACATTTTTGTATCTGTGGCATTGAAAACATATGGTAAAATGTTAAAATGACTTGTCAGTTACACAGATTGTTACTTTTGTACTGTTAGCCTTAAAGATAATGAGATCATAATTTGATCTGTGGTTGATTGGTCACATTTACATTTTACTGTAATTGATTTAGACTACATGAGTATGATTACTCTTGATTACTGCTTACATCAACGATTATAGCTAGCAAGCAAGACAGATGTGTTTTAAACCCAGGACAAGTGTTTCACCTGCTTCGAACTGTGCTTATCGAAATCGAGTTCGGATTCACTTAAATTAGAGAGATGAATAAACTCTAACCATTTCATATAGGGTCGAAAACCATCCAGTTCAGTTGGCAGTGTCTTTTATTGAGTCTGTCTCGGTTAGTCAGAATCTAAACCGTAGGAAAATTGCTGGTAGTATGAAGATAACAGTGTAAAGTAGAAGCCACTTCCATACATGAAGTAACACGCAAGGAATAGTGTTCGTCAATCGTAAATCACGGAGTTACACGGTTGTCTGAACTAAGTTAGATTGGATACACCACTGATTGGCTCAGCCGCGAAAGACAGACACAAGCGTCTTATGTTAAGATCAAGCACAGTCGGATAGCAAGCACTACTGAGTGTGTACCGTGAAAGAATATTCACCTAAGCATATAGAAATTCCAGGCCTTTTTAAATATATATAGATAAATACATACCTGGTTAACCCTGGATGTCTCATGCCTAACGCCGTACGTATATCTTCAGTGGTTAGAGCGGCAGCAGCCATAGCAGCTAATGTAGCCTCAGCTGTACTTGGATCAGTTTGAATTGCTACAGAACATTTATTCAAACTGCTGAAATTGTTATTATTCGAGTTGGTGGAGTTTGTATTCCCCGTTGATTTTTGAACTGTTTCAGCATTTGGATCTCGACGTGCCACCTCTACAATAATTGGCTCTTTAGCTTTCTGAAATGCCTGGATAGCCTCTTCATGAGTTGCATTCCTCAAATCTTGACCATTAACCTGATTTTTAAAGCAAAAAAAGAATTGTAAAAGAATATTAAAGCATTATTAGAAAATATTTCAAACGTCTTTGATAGTTTTCAGGCTAATTATGAATGCATGGAAGGGTGAAGAGTGGAAGCTTGGGGACTGAACGCCGAATGGTTAAATCGTCCGGTTCTCTGTTCAACCTTTTAATAACCAAGAAGACTGTCAGCTTGTGAACTCATGTCTGCCGTACAAGAGTAGAATGCGAGTCACTAACCCACATCCTACGGGTTCGATTCCCGACCGACGCACTATTATTATTATTTGCTTTAATTCCTAGAGAAACGTAGGGCTTCAGCTGTATGTCTCTTTTGCGTTCGGTTCTCTGACAACGTTTTCACCTGGCTTCAAGTCTGCTCACATACTTTCATCTCCTTCTCACATGACCTCCTCCAAGTCACCCTTGCACTGACGACCATCTCGCCGCTTCCCTTTCAGGTTCCCATCGAGAGATTGTCTAGTGATGTCACCTGACGGTTTCCTTAGGGTATGGCCGGTCCATCTCCATTTTTCCTGCTTATTTGTTGCATAATTGCTTCCTGATGGGTTAGTTTGCTCCCGGAGATCCCTGTTGCTGATCTTTTCTGGCTGGCCATCTGACCTTCAGTATTGAGCGAAGACAACTGTTAATGAAGTTCTGTAGTTCATTTGAGATGCTCTTAATGACGCGGTGCCAAGTCTCTGATCTGTATTGTAGCACTGACTTCACACAGGAGTTGAAAATCCGGATCTTATTTTCATTTTCATACTAAGTGCTGTTGATCTCCTCCACACAGAAGTGAAAGCCTGCCTTACTTTATCGATCCTTCCTTTGATATCCTCATCAGTTCCGTCCGCCTGTAGTTGAAACAGTGCTTCCCAGGAGGTTGCTTCTTTCAGATTTCTCCTATTTGTGCTGACTGTTGTCTGTTGTTGTTGCTGTTGCTGCTGTTGGCCAAGAATTTTCATCACCTCTGTTTTCTGTGTGTTCACCTGGAATCCTATCTTCTCTAGATTCTTCTCCTGCCAACTTGTTGCTTTTCACTTGTATATCTTCTTGTTTGTGGGAAATCAGACATATATCATTGGAAAAGTCCAGATCCTTCAAGTTTTTCGTGAGGGTCCATTTTATGCCTGTCTCCTCACTGCCCGCTGTCTGCAATCAACCAACGCACTAGCCAGCGACAACAATTTGGCCGTGAGACTAGCAACCTGACTCTGTAAAAAAGTAACACCACCCCTACTGAAACTTCAAAGCTCAAGCATGAAAGCATATAGTCCTGTCGGCACAAAAAGAAATCAAAAAACGTTTATAAAAAGCCGATGTTAAAATACTTTAACTTTCCTTATACTTTGAAGTTTTTACACGACCAACTTGAGATAATGAAATTTCATAATATGTACCGGTGAAATTCATTTTCCTTGGAATTACAATCTCACTAAGAGTTTAGTGGTTTTCTGTAAAGTCGTTATTTATATGTTGTTGTATTACTTGCAATGTTTATTTCAGTCACTTTGAACATTCCTGTTTCATAATATTCTTTCAGGCAAACTGAATTATTTATTTCATCAGAGTGTGGTCCAGAAAGTAGATGAAAGTAATTAAATTTTTTTTAATTAGTTAAAAAAACATAAATAATACCGTAAAATATCGATTAAGAACATTAACGCTTGTTGAGTATAATAAAAGCATAAAATACAACATTAGATAAAAAGAAGAAAAATACCCTTCCTAACCCAAAACTGCCGACCACAGAACAGAACTTTCTTGGTAGAAAACAAAGAGGGCGGGTGGAAAACTTATCTGAATAGTTTCAGACTAAACAATAAAAAAACACAAAATTGTAAATTTTTACACAGAAATATCTTTTTTCTTCTGTTTGCTTCTCAGCATAGTCACGGTTTGTTTGACTCTAATTACGTTTTATTATTATTATTATTCTTTTTTTATAATTAAATACCATAGAAATAAAATTAACTGAGGAATTTAACCTAGAATTTATGTTTCAGAATTACAGAGAAGTGTTCAACTAGTAAAACTCCTTACAAAGTGTTGATTTCCCTAATAAACGACATTGTTCATCCAATGAAATTCCAATCAACCCATCACTCTAAAACCACCTATTTAACAGGAATACAAACTTATGAATACAAATTATAAAATATACAACAATAACCATAAATATTAATCTCATTGCAAAAGGTTTTTTTCACTAAGAAGATAGACTCGCGGTATGGTGCCAACGGAAATCCCGTATTGTTTGTGGAGTAGACCTCAAAGAATAAGAGAAAATTTGTAACTGAATAAAATGTGCCAGTCCAATATAATTGGAACAACAGGTAGCACAAAAATTTCAACAAGCAGCAACAACTAATGCCTGTAAAATGTAATGACCATAATCGTTTCTAAGTAGACCATTGGGTAATGTTCTGGCCTTTAAAAAGTTTGCTAGGTTTACGTCTAATGAGGATACCGCTCATGTATATTTTAGAAACTCAAATTCCGCTCCTCTTATACTTCTTACTGAGCAGTAAAATATGAAGAGAATAATTCAAAGCATTGATCGTGTAGTAAGCAAGAAATAAAATCAATAACTAACATTTCTCTCTTTGTTTATAAGTTCACTGATATTCTATGCATTTCACCTTGTTTTTTTTCCATTGCTTAGCGTTCCAACTGGAACACAGATAGGACTACAAGATTTGGATTTTCAGTGGCGGTAGTGGTGATGGTAGTAGTGTTTTTTTAAAACAACCTGAGAACTAGTCTCATGCTCAACCTTCTCTCTCTTGTGAGCTCACTGCTATCTAGTAAACTTAAAGGGGTTTACGAGTTATGGAGTGAACAGTGACTATGCTACCACTGAACCAGAGATGTGTCAGTCTTCCGAGTACCATTAGTTAGACAGACAACTCTGCAAGGAACTTCAGCAATGAGTTTGTTTAAATCACTACATATTGCAGTATCATCTAAGCATATTCACCGAATCAAGACAAGATATTTTTGAACATTTTACTATTGGTGAAATACTTAAATTTTCAGTGGAAATGACAACCTAAAATACTGGTTACAGGTTTAGGTAACCTGTGAGTACTGATGAAAAGTTAGTCCTCACCTAGTCGGTGGCACAGTGATTGGGACTCTCGCTGACTATGCACATAGTTCGGGGTTTGATCCCCTGCCGACACACACCCGATATCTATGGTCGGCCTGCAAAATTTGGGCTACCGATATCACATGCTAAAAATTCCACACCTGTACCAAAAACTACGGTGTGGAATCAAGCTGTAATCAAAAATAAATAAATAAATCAATAAAGTATCAATATTAAATTAATTATCAAGTGTTGGTTTTCAGAGTTTTTATTGGTTACAGATTTGATGACGAGGTGACACCATTTAGAGAATCAGTGGTGGACTATCTGGGAGTACCGGACAGCTGTTTAGTCAGCCTAGCTCGCCATCGATAAGGACCCACCGGGGTTAGAACCAAGGAACTCTCAGGTAAGCGGCGAGCACGTAAAAGCAAGATGACAGTTATTCTCATGTGACACTCGCTGACGGTTGCGATATATATATATATATATATACATATTTCATGAATCAACAGAAGTTGAAATGCATGGGCTTTCGGGTCGGATCACAGTGATTGAATAGTCTCGTAACCAGGTGGCCCTGGATTCAGACCATGGTATGTACGTACAGGAAAGAGTCCCAAGCTAGGATGAAAACGCTGTCTAGTATTCCATGGTGGTTTTCTCATGAATAATCCTGTATCATACCCGGTATGCAGGTACCATTAACTTGGTCATTAGGCCAAGAGAGTCACTTATTTTAGAACAGGTTGTTTTGAATCTACAGTTGATTGATTGATCAATCTTGGATCAGATCTCAGATCGCTGTAAAAGCTTAAAAAAACTGAAGTCAGACTTAGGCTGGCGGACAGCATCACTCTAGAGTATCATGAAAAAAATATTGGACAGGAAAAACGACATCTCGTATCATGTGATATTCAAGTGTTGGCTTGTAGGGATTTGATTGGTTACAGGATTTCATCATGAGCTCACATTAGTTCGAGAACCATTGGAAGACCTGAGAGTACTGGACAGCTGTTTCCTCAGCCCAGTTTGGGACTCTTCATCAGTACGCACCGATTGGGATTCGAGCCCAGGACCTTCCGGTTACAAGGCGAGCTCGTATACCATTGAGCCACTGGGACCCGATCCAGTGGCCAGTGTATGAATTTTAACTTCTGCCAACTCACGATATTGCGCAACCGCTAGCCAATGTCTTCGACGAGTATTTGTCCTCACACCCGACCTGTTACACCCTACTGGTCACGACTTCTCACTAGAACCCCAGGTAACTACCTACCAGAATAGGGCTAGTGGCTAGTGAGCATCTCATTGATATTCAAGTGTTGGTTTGTGGGGATTTGATTGGTTACAGGATTTTATCATGAGCTGACATATCATATGATAGTCTAAAACACCAACAAAGGAATAATTAAGTGTCTACGACCTTTTTGCTTAGTAGTTAGTAGTATTTAGAGCCAAAATAAACTATAAGCATTCTGTCACGGAGGTTACCTCCTTCACTTATCTGACTAGGAAGCATCGTTTCAACTACAGGCGCACGGCACAAATGAATATGTCAAAGCCAGCCAGCCAGCCGGAATTGGAAAGGCAGGATACGCCTTCATCAACCTGTAACAGGTTTGGAAATCTTCTGCTTCACTCAGCCAGCATAAAGAACAAGACTGGGATTCTGTTGAACACAAATATCAAGTCGGTGATTCCATACGTGTCAGAAACTTGCACTACATGTCACGAAAATAATTTCCAATGGACAACTGCAGACTTTCATCAACAGCTGCCATCTTCACTGGTTCCCAACTGAAGTTCAAATGGCCAGCCGGCCAGAAAGAATAAGCAACAAGAAACTCTGGCAGTGAACAAACCAACAGGCGAGAGCCGATTGCTCAACAAATATGT